TACGAGCCTGGCGGTCAACCGCTATAGAGTTGTTAGAACCGAAAATTCGGTTAATGATCAAGCCGTTATTCTGTTGTTGAAGAATCCTCTCAGATTTGATCTTCTGAGCTTGATTCAAAAATCCTATCTCCAAGGATTTCGCTGCTGCTGTTGAATCGTCAAACCTGAGTGGTTGAGATCCCCCCCCCCATCTTTGCTAACTTTTTTCGTTTCAAAAAGCCAGCTGCCAGCTCTTATCTGTTTTAGAACTGACAAATCTCCAACCTGTACGGTTTAGATTTTTAGAATCCAACCTGTGTGGTTCAGATGCCAAAAATCCAACATTTTGCTCTGTTGGGTTCGTTGAGCTTTTATAGGGGGATAGGAGGTTGTAACTGACCCCTATATCCGCTCCTACGTGGGCGAAAATCCCTCAGAACGTGGGATAAACGGTTCTGAAACCGTTCGACTCATGTTTGAACGAGTCAAACGCCCAATCTGGCGTTTAGCACCCAACTTCGCCTCTTAGAATTGAGACGCGAGGTTGGGTGTTCGCTGAACATCATTGAACGTGAGGGTCGCTCGCGTTTTGGCTTGTTGCCTGTTTGGAAACGCGGGGGTCGGTGTTGGTTGGACCCCTACGAACGCGAGGGTCACTCACGTTCAACTTGTATCTTGGAGACACGGGGGTGGCTTGGAAACGCGGGGGTCGCCTGCACTTCCCAAGTCGTAACGTGGGGATGACATCCGCGTTTCAGAAGGAGCTTTTTGACTTGTAACTTCTTCTGTGAAGCGTTGCGAGGATCGTTGTTCAATATTCCTGGCTTTAGCTGTTGTAGTGTATGAAAGTCGTCAGATTGTAACTTTCACTGTTGATTGTGAAGGCTGCTGAATAGAGTTTTCATCAGTTGTCAGAAGTGTCGTTGAATTGTAACTCTTCTCGATCTATGTGAAAAGTCCTCTATTTGCTGCTTTCGATTGTCGACCCGAAAGCTATTTGATTGTAGCTTTCGTTGTAGGAACTTGACGGGAATCAACATCCATAGTGTCTTTAAATGGATATTTGCCCACAGCTCTCTACCAAGCAACTCACCAACTAAGTCCAACCTTTCATTTCTAAAATCATTACACTGCTCATCAGCATCTCCAATAATTGCTAATATAATATTAGTCGTGCTGTTGTCGCAGCCATCAAGATCAATCATCTCAGAAATGAGGTCGTGTTTGTGGCGATTGTGGAATTGCGGATGCAGTGATTGGGAATTCGTCTGATTGTGATTTCCGTCGTCGGAGTTTGATAGGGTCAGCTATTCATTATGATTTTTAGACAGCCTACAGAACCCCCTCCAAAGTTTTCGAAAGTTCGCGGTTGACTGGGACGAATTTTCGGAATACTTTGGATCGCAAAATTTAGTGGATTGATTGCTCCCTCCGTCTGATCGAGCCAGATGATTTCACCATTGTTGGTTGTAATCTATCTGTACTCCTCCAATAGACTCTCCAGTGGAGTCGTTTATTTTTTCCCGGCTTTGGTCGCCTTGACGATTGCTGTTAGCTCTTCTTTTATTCATCTGGGGCTGTGTCGTAGCCTTGGTAGTCAAGAAGCTGCTATCATAGTGGTCCAAACACAGAGATAATTTCTACCTTTGGGGATTGGAACGCGTGGGTGAGCCCAGCGTTGGGAAATTTGAACGCAAAGGTGGGCATCGCGTTTGGAAGTTCAACCAACTCGAACGCGAGGGTCGAGTTTGGGCGGGATCCTGACCTCGAATCCCGTCCGTTACGATTTGACAGCTCATAGCTGTCTATAAATAGACCGCTAGAGGTCAAATCAAGAGTCATTCGACTCTTCTTGAAATTTTAACGAAAAATTTTCATTCTCATCTCCGGCGAAACGCTGTACACCTCCTCCGACGAGATTCAATGGCACCTAAGAAACCAGTCGCTTCCAAGTCCGATGCCGCTGCGGCTTGAGGGTCGGCATCATCAGCGTCGGCCGGCGGCGCTGCTGCTCAGGCGGATGTGCCGCCCCAGCTTCCTTTGATTGGTGGTGAGTATGACCTCCGTGGCCATTAAACTTGCTTCGGCAAGTTCTGATCTTGAGATCAACGAGGAAACTCGTTTCAATAACGCGGGGCTGGACTCCGTCGTTTGGTATTTCTGACGCGGGGTTCAACCTCCGCGTCTCAGATTTTTGACGCGGGGGTCGACCTGCGCGTCTGAGCTTTTTGACGCGGAGTTTGTCCTTCGTGTCCAAGCTTATCTGACGCGGGGTTCGACCTTCGCGTCTGAACTTATCTGACGCGGGGTTCGACCTTCGACGCGGGGTTCGACCTTCGCGTCTGAACTTATCTGACGCGGGGTTCGACCTTCGCGTCTGAACTTATCTAACGCGGGGTTCGACCTTCGCGTCTGAACTTATCTGACGTGGGGTTCGACCCTCGTGTCTGAGTCTTGCTTTTGAGTTATCTAACTTTCTTCTTCCTTTTGTAGTGCGCCATACCAGTGAACCTCTTCTTTTTCGCCACCATTTTGGGCATGAAGGTGGTGCGGACATGAACATGGCCTTCAGCTCATGCCAAGAACTCCCACTTTTCCGAATTAGGGAGAAGAGTCGCGTAGAATTAATTACCCAAGCTTCTTCCGACACTCTTAGGACATTGGTTATAGATGCCCGACTTGAAAGCCCAAGCCGTAAGCCAATAGTCAAACCTGGATATCTCTTCGGGGACTTTGTTGACTTCGACGCAAGCACTGCTTATGATGGGGACTATAAGTGGTTGCGGAAAGTTGGGGACCGCAACCTTTTCTTGCCCAATATGGAGAGGATGTTCCCCATATCTTATTTCCAGTGTGCTTCTGTCCCAATGCATATGGATTGGCCCCTGGTTAAGGATCAAGATGAGGTTTCTCTCGGGACTTTGACTTTTCACGAGGTCCGCACAGTTAGTTATAACCGACAGGTGACAGCTTTGTGGCCGAGTTTATTTGCTAAGGAGTATCCCCTTGGCGAAGTACCCAGCCCGGCGAAGACCTTTGTTAAGAGGTTTCTGGAAAAGAAAGGAGAGTTCCCCGCGTAAGGATTTAGAGCTCCTGGTTAGGTTCACTCTCCAGTGACAGGGTGGTGGGCCCAGATGACCAAGTTCGTTTTGGATGAATTGGAAACCCCTCTTACCCAAGCTGGATTACTGGTCCACTTTCATTTCTTTTCCATATTGGAGAAGTATAGTCCCGAGACTTGCACTTTCTTCACCCCTGTGGGAGAGCTAGGCTTCGCTCTTCACGAGATGCACGAAGTCTCAGGTCTTATTCTTGGGGATTTACCATATGAAGAATTTGTTTCGGGATCTGCGGAACTTAAACTTTTGAAGAAGACCAGCCCAGAAATTTACGCCACTCTCTGGGAAGTGATGTGTCACTTTCATATCTGCATGCAGCTGACGGGGGCTCGCGGAAGCGGCATCAAACAAGTGTCTTGGGCGGAATATTTATTCCAGAACTTGACCATTAAAGGGGGCTCTGTGACCCGATTGCCTATCAGTACTTTGGAAGAGGTTCAGGCTCGTATTGACGACGCTACCTCCCATTACACCAATGAGGCCAAGGAGGATGTTTTCCCGGCTCATACAGAGTTTGAAAGCTTCCATTATCAAGCTCTGATTCCAATTTCCGACGCGGCGTTGCTGGCTGGATTCTTGATGCTATGGCTCAAGCGTTGCGTCGTTCCTACCAGGCCGATCGATGCCCTTGCTATTGAGGTGGTCTACCCGGCTGTTCTCTTGGCACATGGGAGACCTGTGAGCCTCCTCAGTGCCATGGTGGGTTGCTTACAGTATGGACTGCGGGAGTTGGCCTCTGACTTCGTTTGTGTTACAGAGGTGGAGTCTGAGGGTCACAAGACTTTCAAAACACCCAATCCCAGGGTACCAATGCCATATGCCTATTTGATGGCTTGGTACGTGCTTCACTGTCCTCCTATGTTGAGTGCAGCCTCTCCCCCGGAAGACTCATTCATCCCATTTGTGCAGCGACTAGAATCTGCGAAATGGGAGGGGGGTTACATGGTTAGAATTCGCCAAATCCTTGCGCGAGACACCAACTTCCATATCTACCATTGTTTCCCTGATTTTGAGGGCGGCATCTATGAAGCAGAATATCAGGATACGGCAGGTCCTAATGGATTCACTCAGCTGAGCGGGGGTGTTTTCCACTGGCTTCTATCCATCAGGCCAGGCTACCTGATCTTCCGACAAGGCGTCAAATGCTTCATCGAGCCTTACCAACCCTATAGGTTCGTATGATCAGTTGTACGTCGGGAACCCTCGTCCTCAACTCTCAGTTATAGGCAATTTATATGAAGGGGCCAGGGCTTGGTATTATTCTGTAGCAGGTTGTACCAAAGCCGTCTTCAAGCTTCCCCACAAAACTGCTAACTCTTACACCTCCATAAGCTTCTGCAATTGGTACTATGCCGCTTCTCAGACTCCCAACTTCAACTTGAATACATCTTGCCTGAAAGACATTAGGCATATGTATAATTTAAGGAAGGGGTCCAAGACATCCCGCTTGAAAGGGATCGATGAGTTTCTGTCCATCGAGAATCAATATCTAGATCCAATGGAGAGGAGAGGTTTTTAGTTTTTAGGATAGCGAGGTTTGTATTTGAACCTCTCCCATTGGATGAATCTAGTTTAAACTTCATATAAACATTTCAGATCAAGATCTCATTAATTAAACATCATTAATGAACTTTTTAAGACTGAAATATATGATTTTTGCACCTCATGCCATAAGATCTACTTTATCTACACAAAATACGATTTGGGCTCAATAAAAACCGGATTTAAAACTCAAATCTAAGCATAAATGACGAACCACAGGAATCATCTGTGGCTGGCCTGCCACATAGAGCGGGGCTTCGTTCTCATGGCCCAGCTCTGTCGGGCGAAGTTTCTTCTTATCATCCTCCCGAGGACGAAGAAGATGAATTAATAGCTGCAGATGCAGAGTCTGCTCCGGTGATGGATCTTCCTAGGTCTCCTGCATTGGAATCAGGGGGTCTTGAAGAGAATTCATTCCCTTCTCCTTCAGCCTTAATGTCCCAAGCTGGTGATTTAATTTCTAGTCCTACAACGGGACTCATGAATAAACCAGCTGCTAGAACAGATCTTCCGGAACCTTCCGCGGCTCAGGATGATGAGGAGCAAGTTGATTATGACGACTCCCCAACTGGTGATGCAGCTAACGGATATAGAGGCAATGAGGATGCTGATGTTGGCAACATGTCAGGTGGTGGTGAAGGTGACGAAGAGTATGATTCCATAGATGACGTCACCACTTTTGATGATGATGCTCCCAAGGTCCCGTCCGATAAAGCATCTGGTTATACTCCTTTCTACCTCACCGGTAAGCTTGGTTTGTTTCGACTTCTTCCGCCTGCTTTCTCCGTGTTCCGACTATTTTTTCGTGCAGGTTCACCTTCTCCAGGGACTACTGCTGCTGCTACTTCTGAGCCAGAACCCGCTCAGGTGTCGGCTCCTTTAGAAGAGCAACATTTACCCGGCTCTTCTACGGCAACTGCTTCACCTGCAGCGTTGCCTGAAACTACTGCCGCAACTCCTCCTCCGAAACAGCAACTTGTGCAGGCGTTAGCTCCCATGCAGGAGCAGGCCCTACGTGCCTCATCTACTGTAGCTGCTTCCTCTGCAGCATTGATGAAGATCTCGCTTGTGCCCACGGAGGCCGGACCAAGCGCGTCGCCAGTGAGGACAATGATGGCTTTGACTTCAAGTCCTTCGCAATTGGACATCATGATAGCTTCTCTGGCTTCTTCTCGATCGTCACCAAGTCCCATTATTTTAGGCTCCTCTTCGACATCTCCAAAGAAGTCCCTAAATCCAGTCGTCATCCCCTCCATTCTGAAAGTTCTTATACGACCGTTGGAAGATATGATGAAGATAGCGATTGAGGAGATCAGTGCTGGACGAGCTTCATTCGACTTTTTCAAACCAATTCTCATGAACTCTTTGAGCAACGTTTGATAGATGAATGACGCTCGATTGTTCCAGCACTGCTCTGAAGGCATCTCTCGGTTGGAAAAAGATCTGAGGGCTTTGGAGGAATTGCATCAGGCTGATCTTGCTGCCCAGGCTGCGTTAGTCTTTGATAATCTTCAGGCTGAGGCGGCCCGCCAATACGAATCTTTTCAAGAAGCCATCACTGAGAGGGAACTTGAAATTGCATCCGTACAGGGGCAATGCATTCAGAAGCAACATGCTGTGGATGCTTCTGGTGCTGCCATACAAACGTCTCGTGCAGAGATTGATCGCCTTAGAGTGGAGTTGGCTCGACACGAGGCCGATCTCGCGCGAGAAGGAGAGATCTTGAAGAAGCTCACGCTATAAAGCGTGAAAACTTATGCCACTTACCGTTCGTTAGTGGAGGACCTTGAACTTCTCCAAAAGCAAGCTAATGCAATTACGCCGGACGAAAACACCCTTAGGAAGAAAGCCGAGGTGATGGTGTAGGCAGCTCATGAAGAAAAGCTATCCGCTATTAAGTCCCGGCTCGCGTATTTCACTTTTACTGATCCAGAGGCTTAATCATGTAGTGTTCTTTTTGTTTGCTAAGAACAAGGTTTTTGTATCACTCTTCAATATTTTTTTTGATGATAATAAAAAAAGTGATTCTGTTTTGTCTTTTTTTTATTGCATGTGTCGTGTTCTGACTTGCAACAATGGAAAAATACCCAATCTTTAACATTTCCTTTATTACCATCTAAGATAATTCTAGAAAAACTTTAACTTGTTGGGGGGGGTATATGAACACTCGTTATTCCTTTGCAAGAGAATTAACTGGTTCAAACGGGTTAGAACTGTTAGAGGTGATTTGTTAACATAACAGAGATTTGGGGATCTATCGATCTATTGGGAAGAATCAATAGGTTAATCTTTGTAAGTGATATGATCTTACTCTGATATGCGGGCGATCGCAATCAGAGTAATTTAAGGGCTTATCACTCTATTAGGGAGGGTTGATAAGTGGATTTTTGTCAGAGGTATAGTGTTAACGTGACAAGAAGAATATTGCTATCAGGGCAATTTTGAGGACTTATCGCTCTATTGACGAGAATCGATAAGTTGATTTTGTCAGAGGTGTAATTTTAACGTGACAACTGGAATATTGCGATCAGGGCAACTTTGAGGACTTATCGCTCTATTAACGAGAATTAATAAGTTGATTTTGTCAGAGGTGTAATTTTAACGTGACAACTGGAATATTGCGATCAGGGCAATTTTGAGGACTTATCGCTCTATTGACGAGAATCGATAAGTTGATTTTGTCAGAGGTGTAATTTTAATGTAACAACTGTGGGGATGCGACCAGGGCAATTTCGAGGACTTATCGTTCTGTTGACGAGAATCGATAAGTTAATTTTGTCAGAGGTGTAATTTTAACGTGACAACTATGGGGAAAGGATATTATAGCGTCTCACTGGGGAGAACTGCTAAGTGTTTTACCATCGGAGCGATGAATTGTGATACTTGTGATTTGAACAAGATTTTGAGGGATTTTGTTATCCCACTGAAAACAGGTTATTTATTGCTCTGCTGAGGAGAGCTAATAAATTGACAATGATTTGGAGACTTATCATTCTATTAACGAGAATTGATAAGTGGATTTGAGCTTTGCACTTGGGAAATTTGAACGCGACTATGAACTTCGCGTTTTGGAGATGGTTGGGATTCCCACCTAGAATCCCGTGCCATCTTAACAGTCTTGACGGCTGTTATAAATAGACCTGAATGGTCACGTCAAAAGTCAATTGACTTTCAAAACTTTTGACTATTTCCAAGAACGAGAACTCTCGTTGGACTATGGCAAGATCTCCGACGAGCTTCGTCTCCCTCGTTCAAGGGATCTTCCTCCGATCAACTGCATCAATGGCGCCTCAGAGAAGGGATTCAAACTCCAAGAAAGTTGCTGAAGCGACTTCCGACATGCCGTCGGCTAAGAACGCTGGCGGTGTTCTTGCTCGTGCGGGAACCTTGCCGTCGACATCGCCGCTGCAGGGGCCTCCCTGTCGTGGTGAGTGCTGACTGAAATAACTTGCCTTGGCAAGTTCTCTGAAAACCCTAGATGGGTTCTTGATAACGAGGAAGATGACTCGTTTTAACTCAATGAAAACGCGGGGTTGGGATCCCATGTGGGTCTCGACCCTCGCGTTCAAGTTTTTCAACACGAGGTTGACTCTCGCGTTTGAGGCTTCTGACGCGAGATTCGACCTTCGCGTTGGAGATTTCTAACGCGAGGTTTGACCTTCTCGTTGGGGACGAGACTTTAACCATTTGTGTTCCCGACTATGTCTTTATGTCGATAGCTCGCTTCTAGCTGCTAACTTCTGCTTTTGATTGTGCAGTGCTTCTCCCAAACGTGCCGCTTTCACAAGAGCACCATTTCGGATATATTGGTGGACCTGACCCGAATGAATTATTCAGTCTTCAGAACAGGATTCCATTGTGTACTTTTCCTGATTCGGAAAGAGCGGAAATGATTAAATTCCCTCAATGCTCTACTCTCAGGATTTTGATAACTGACTTAGACTTGGAGACCCCTGTTGGTCATGCCCAGTTTCCTAAACCAGCATTCATATTTGGAGATCGCATACCAGTCGATGACCATCTCACATATGTAGAAGATTCGAAGTTGCTGCGGAGAGCTGATAATCGCTTCTTATTCCTCCCAAACATGAAGAGGATGTACCCGCTCTCCTATTTCTTGAATGTGAGTTGTCGTCGGGGTTTGACCTTCAACATTGTCAAAGAGAAAGAGAATGTGTCACTTGGATTTGGTCGGTGAGCTCGTACACAAATCGGAGGACAACTCAAGGGGTTAAGACCTGGTTTGTTTGAGAAGAATGAGCTGGTTCCGAAGATGCCACACCCAGCGAACATTTTTATCCGCCAATTCCTTGCAACTCAGGGTGGATTCTCTACCCAGACGTTTAGGTCCCCTGGATGGGTCTGTTCTGGCGAAGGAGGTTGGTGGACCCGCATGGTTGACTTTGTTCTTGAGGAGCTTAAGGACTCGCTCGCTCAATCGGGTCTTACAGTTCCTGTGTTAGCTACACGATGGGGAGTCATGCAGAGTCTTCACAATTTCTTTGCCATGTTGGAGAAATATAACCCGGACAGCTGCACATTTTTCACACCTGCAGGAGAGTTAGGTTTTGCTCTCCATGAGATGCAGGCAGTGTCGGGGCTGTCGCTTGGAAAAACGCCCTATGAGGAGTTTATCCCCACCACCGAGGAGCTTTCTCTACTGAAGGTGGCGCACCCGGAAATTTACACTACTTTCTGGGAATTGATGTGTCACTTCCACATATGTGCCCAAGTCTTTGGGATGCGTGGAGGGGGCATCATGCATACCACATGGGCGGAATACCTCTTTCAGAATTTAAACCGAAAAGATGTAGCCGTTTCCCGCGTTGCTGTTATCTCTCATAAGGATGCCAAAGCTCGAATTATGGCCTCCAGTGCTACCTATAAGACAGAGCATGCCGAGGATGATTTTGAAGCTGGTGTTGAATTTGAAAGTTTCCACTACCAAGCCACAGTTCTTATCTCTGACACGGCTCTACTTGCAGGCTTCTTCATGATTTGGTTGAAACGGTGTGTAGTACCGTCAAGACCAATAGAGGCGATATTGGCTGAGGTTGTGTACCCAGCTGTTTTGCTAGCACACGGGAGACCTGTGAGCCTCCTTACTGCTATGGTTGGCTGTATTCAGAATGGCCTGAGGGTGTTGACTTCAGAACTTCTCAGCGCTTCGAGGGTCAAAGCTACTAAGAAGAAAGCTGGGAAAGCTCCTCAACCACGTGTTCCAGTGCCGTATACATATCTAGTGGCCTGGTGGACTTGCTTGCTGAGGGCTCACCTTCTTTGGAAGAGGGCACATTCAGTTGGCTTCTTATGATCAGGTTGGGCTACCTGGTCTATCGCTCACGGGAGAAGTGCGTAATCGAGCCTTACATGCCTTCTCGGTTCGCGAGACAGTTTGGATATGACCAACTCTATGTTGGCAATCCTAACCCGGCGTTAGCTCAGATTGGGAATTTATGCGAAGGAGCTCGCGCATGGTACTTTTTCTCTGCCGGGGGAACCCATGCGCAATTCACTTTACCCAACTCACCACCCGGCTGTTTTGCTGTTATGGATTTCCGCCAGTGGTTTGCCGAAGCTTCTCAGATTCCGGAGTATGACGTTTATACTTCATGTATAAACGAGATTCGGGAATTGTATCGTTCACGGAGCGGTTCTGCGAGTACTCGTCTGCCAGGGATGGAAGAATACCTATCTTGTGAACAGGAATCGACCGGAGCCGTTGAAGCTCCTAAGGACTTGTCCACCGTAGAACCTTCTGAAGAAGAGGTTCCTACGGTAATTGAAGAGGGAAGGCCAATTGATGATTCTCCCGAAGAAAAGACAACGGAGGAGATTCCTGCAGAAGAGCCCGTTCTTACACCTCGTTCTTTAAGATCGGGTAAGAAAGCTCTTTCTGCTGCTGAGCAAGGTGAGTATGACAGGAGAATTCGCAAGCGGATACCTGTCATGGCCAAATATTCCAAAAAGGCCAAATTAATGGGGGCCGCGATGAAGTCTGCGCTCGTTGAGCGTTTAATTGACAGAGTGGGGGCCGCGATGAAGTCTGCGCTCGTTGAGCGTTTAATTGACAGAGAGGACGAAATGCCCCAATCAACTCCTTCGATTCCTGAGGACGATAAAGTTGGAGAGGGCCCTTCTTCTGAAGTTGCTCCAACACCTGTTCAGAACGAACATACGGGTTTAATCTATCCAACCCTTCCTCCTCCACGCTCGCGGGCTCTGAAGAAATCGATTGATGAACTGGAACGTTGGATGCAAACAATTATTAATATTGTCAGTGTTGAGGGGGCTTCTCTTGAAGACTGTGAATCTATCTTGAGCCAATGTTTGGACGACATCAAGGCTAAAGGGGATGCATCCTGGACTGAGCACTGCCA